CACAGCTTGCGTGTGGTGTCCGATCCGGACCGTAGATCACCTGATCTACGGTCCCGATGTATTTTGGTGGGGTGGATCAATTTTTTTTAATAAAAAAATGGAAATAATCCTGACCGTAGATCATCGTGATCTACGGTCAGGATCGGACACCGCATGCAGAGATGCATGCGGTGTCCGCACGCAATAATTCCTCCTACCTAAGGCGCCTACAATTTAACATTTACAACTTTAGGCCGTGATGTAAGCAGAATTTATCATAAACCCTAAACAATTAAAAGGGCGAAAAATAATCCTAATTTTTTTTTAATCTTATTTTATCTCTGTTTTGGCATAAGTTTTGAATTTATTAAATCCTGTCTTGACAAATATAATTAAGGAATTTGGATATATATATATATATATAGGAAGTTGGCATATTTCGCTGATGAATGTTTCCAGAATGCCAGAAGATGGAAGTGGGAGGGAGAAGGAGAGTTTAATAAAAATTAATTAAATTAATAATAAAGTTAACTGATTGATAAGATAATAAGTTAAATAAATTAATTATTTATGATTTAATCTGATTAAAAAAACTATTTGTATGCTTAATTAAATATTTGAACTTTTAATCAAAGATTAATTATCTTTAATAAATTCTAATTAATGATTATTGAACATTGTAAATAATAAATTATAGATCAATTTATAAATATTACATACTAATACTAATTAATTATCTTGGTGAAATCATAATTAATGATTAATTTATATTATTAAATAACCAATTAAAAATCAACCAATTGTTGATTAGTTATACTTATTAAAATATTTTGTTATTTCGATTTTTGTGTGTCAAAAAATTTGCGGCGGTTGAGTGATAATTTAATGTTTTAGCATTGCACAAACATCTACACACACATAAAAAAATGGAAAAGAAGCTAGAAGAGACACCAAGATTTTTTACATGAAAAAACTTTAGAAATGAAAAAAAATTACTTGACCTGGCCCAGCCAGCCAAAGTAATCCACTATAATATTATAAGTACATGTGTTCACTCTTCTTCTAAATTTAAGAAGATTGAATTGCAATGTTGATAATCATACATGTATAATGGTTATCCAAATTTAATAGTCGTAATTGGTCTACAATAAATGCAATTCTTGACAATAATTGAAATAATTGGTCGCAAAGGTCGTAGTTGATTATTATAGAGATGGCAGTTAGTCACAAAGATTCTAGTCATTGACTGCGTTAGCGTATGTTGGTCATAGAGTTCATAGTTAAAAATTGTAGTAGCTATTAGTCACATAAGTTGTAATTTGTCATATATGTCGTAATTGGAGTTTATTGTAGTAGTTAGTTAGATATGTCATAATTGGAAGCTGTAGAAACAGTTAGCTTCATATGTTGTTGTTGGTCATATAGGTCGTGGTTAGTAGTTGCAGTAGTAGTTTTACCACAAAGTCGTACTTGGTCACATAGTCTATGATTCATAGATGTAGTAGTTGGCCACATAGAGCATTATTGGTGGTTGTAAAAGTAATAGTTGGTTATAAAGGTCGTAGTGGAAAGCTACAATAGTTACTAGTCACATAAGTCGTAATTGGTAGCTGCAAAAGTGTGAATTGTTCATATAAGTCATGAAAAGATGTATTAGTAATTGACCACATATGTTAAGGTTGGTAATTGTAATATAGTAAGTTCTCTACATAATTCACAGTTGGTAACTACAAGAGCATCAGTTGATCAAAGAAGTCATAGAGGGAGATTGTAATGACATCACTTTTCCAGCTAAACTGTAATGGGAAGTTACAACGGTATTTGGTCACATAGACCATAGTCAATCGCTGCAAGAGCTTTAGTTGACCACAGAGATTTTAGTAGAATGTTATAATGACAGTAATTAGCCATAAAGGCCGTAGTGGGAAGTTACACTAATAATTGATCGCATAGCCCATAATAGGTCACTGCGAGTGTGTTAGTTGGTTATTGAGGATGTGGTGGAAAGTTATAATGATAGTTGTTGACTATGTAGGTTGTACTAAGAAGTTATAATAGTAATTGATAACATAGGACATAGTGGGACACTGCGGAGTATCAGTTTGCCAAAAAGGCCTTTGTAGTTGATGTTACAACGGTTGATGACTACAACCTTTCACTTATGTTTACTACTTTACACTAGCAGCATCACTAGTCAGTATACTTTAGAAGAATATTTTAGAAGTCCAAAGAAAGTTGTTGGATTATGAATACAATTATCTGAAGCAGTTGTTGTTGGGAATTATTATCATATCTTCAATACATTGTGTTCAAGATACTCCGTATTCGAAATACTCTATTGCCCCATATTTTGGATACTCTGTTATCCCATATTTCGGGATACTTCATTGCACAATATTTAGAATACTTTGTTACCCCATATTCGGGATACTCTATTACACGATATTCAATATATTTTATTGCCTTGTACTTGAGATTCTTCATTACACCTTAATCAAAGTATTTCATTACCCCATATTCGAGATATTTTGTTGCCTCATATTTGAGATACTTCGTTGCACAGTATTCAGGATATTTCATTACACAACAGTGTTTGTCAACGACGGTGAGCAGAGGATAATCGGTGATAGCCAATGGCGGCCGGCAAGTGAAGATCGAAGGTAGTCGACGACTACGAAGGCTGAAAGTTATCACTAGTTCTTCTATATAATAGAACATCACTAAAATAAACTCCTTTGCTCCTCAAGTTAAGAGAAGGGCTATATTTATAGCCCTTAGTAGAGGGATATTTTGGTCATTTGACAAATAACTTCTGTAGCCACATAATTGGGTGACTCATATTGATCCCCTTTATTATAGAGTTTTTTTAATGATTTGAAGGTCTTAGTAACCTCAAAATTAAGGGAACTTCGACTTGTTGGATTCCTAGAGCAGAAACTCTCAATTTAAATACCAATATATCAAATTTAGAATTCGTTTGATTATCCAAGTAATGATCTCAAACCTCTAAATGTGCTTTAATAACTTGATCTGTGTTTGATCAAACTCGGGCGGGACCAACTTTGGTATCATTGGCTTAGTTTTGATCATTAATTACAAATTATAACAATTAACACTAAAAATAAACTAAAACAAATTAAATGAACAGATTTCAATTCCAATAAAAAAAAATTGCAAAACAAATTAAAAATAATTAAACGGATTTAACTTATATCAACATAAACAATTTCTCAACCTATTCACCCTAACACTTATTAAATCCATATTTACAAAATTTATTGAGTTTAGCCCCTTTAGTTCACTGAAATCAGAAAATTAACTCTTATTTTTTTAATTATTGTTGATAAATTTTGCAAAACTCTGATTATTTAATTAAACTGAAAGCAATCAGGATTAATCATTTCCTTCAGCAGCAAGTAGCCTACGTCGATTTGGCACAATTTGCATAAACTAATACGGTCAAATAAAAATCAAATTACGCTGCATGCCCCTTCTAATTACAAGATTATCCGATGCAATTAGATTAATTATCTTATCACAATATGAGGATTATTAACGAATCTTCAGGCTGACTGCGAGGTTCTAAACTAAGTACAAAATAACAGACAATGGGCGCTACATTTTTTTAAGAGAGCAGTGCTTGTTATACTTGGAGTGGGTGACCCGTCACAGTCTGCGAGCTACATGAGGCTACCCTTCCTTTATTATATAGAATTTTGCAACAACTCTAATTTCTTTAGTGAAATTTACACACACACACACACACATATATATATATAT